CTCCTCTCCACTTCGGCTCTCAACTATGGGCCAGATGATGGAGATCCCTCCCTCCGCGCTGAGATCGCCCGCTGGCTCTCTGACTTCTACTCCCCGCCGTCCCCCGTACCAGCTTCCCGCATCTGTATCACCGGTGGAGCCAGCCAGAATCTCGCCTGTCTACTACAGGTATTCTCTGACCCGCTATACACTAAGAATGTATGGATGGTGGCGCCGACATATCACTTGGCTTGTAGAATTTTTGATGATGCGGGGTTTGCGGAGCGGCTGAGGGGGGTGAGGGAAGATGAGGAGGGATTGGATGTAGCGGAACTGGAGAGGGGCTTGGAGAGGAGTGAGGAACGAGCAAGAGCTGAATGGAAGCGGGTGGGCGACTGGAATCGAAACCAGGTGGAGGAAAATCTTGAACCGGTATGCTCTGCCCGTGGCTTCTTAGAGCGCTGCTCTTCTTTCTTAAACCTCAGAGTCATTTGCGCCTCTAGTGTGAAGCCCTTACTCATTTTGCATTCTTCCATTGAGAATTACAGAGATGCGCCTTCAAACCTGCCCGTCCTTGGCGAAAGCTGTATAAGCATATCATCTACACAACCCCTACATTTTCAAACCCTTCGACAAAGGTAATGAGTCTGCGGCGTCGAGAAGAGCTTGTCCGGCTTGCGAGAAAATACGACGCCCTAATCATCTCAGACGATGTATACGATCATCTTCAATGGCCTGCTTTTCCATACGTATGGGCTAAGGAAAAATATCCAGACAAAGCCGTTGTTTCTCGTATCGTCGATGTTGATCGATATCTCGATGGCGGGCCATCGGGAGAGTTCGGAAATGCCGTTAGCAATGGCAGTTTTAGCAAACTCATCGGCCCTGGATGTCGCGTTGGCTGGGCGGAAGGGACTGCAAAACTTGTCTATGGTCTGTCACAGGTGTATGTGCTGCACATGAGCATCCACAGTTCATATATTGAAGAATTCGTTTGTAAAGAGTTAGCAATATATCATTCCGAGACAAGCCTAGCTAACCATGGCATATGTATTTATGCACTGAACAGTGGTTCCTCGCGTTCGGGTGGCTCTCCCTCGCAGTTCACATCGACTTTCATCCGCGAGCTACTGGCTTCAAACGCACTGAAAACGCATATCAGAACCATCCTGCAACCTGCGTATTCAAAACGCTACCACACTCTCACGACAGCCGTGCAAAAACACCTCGTCCCTCTCGGTGTGTCGTTGCCAACCGGTCCAGCAAATGAAACTTCCACTGACGCCGTGGGAAATGGCAGCACGATCAGCGCTTGTACCAACGGTAAGAGTGCTATTGCAGGCGGCTACTTTCTTTGGCTTCGCCTCCCACCCGGCCTAAGAGCTAGCGACCTAGCGAAGAAGGCGCAGGAGGAAGAGAATTTGATTATTGCCAGTGGAAGTTTGTTTAAAGTTGTTCGCGAGGGTCCTGGCGACGGCAATGATGATGGTAGTGGAGAGAAGGACCCGGAAGATTTTGAAGGGTTTGTGAGGTTGTGCTTCGCGTGGGAGGAGGAAGAGAAGTTTGAGGAAGGGGCAGCGAGACTTGCGAGGTTGATTCGGAGGGAAATGCATAGAGCAGATGCGTAACTAACAATATAAGTTGCAACTTGACTACTGTCAGACAGCCTTCATTTCTTCTTGGTCCTTGGTTTGTCGCCTGTGCATGAGCCGCTTGCCATTCCAACACGAGGTCCGTCCCTGATGCTATATAAACACTAACTACATCTAACTACATGATAACCTCCCGCAACAAGGTGGATTATGTCTCTGGCATTGCCGTAAAGAGCCGGATCTAGGCTCGCTTGAACATGCTCAATTTGATAATCTAACCTGACTGAAAATCCACAATACATCAATGGACTCCTGTTTTCAAAGCATAGATCTATCCTTTGACCGGGTATCCGCCCCATGCTCCCTGTTCTCTGATCGCTATTTGCTTTAATTTATCCCACTTCCCTTCTGTTATGATCATAAATGGTAATAATGCGGAGAGATTCATGATTTTTCAGCTCTCATGTTGGAGGATGGTCCTTCTGAGAACGAACTACGGAGGCTCCTCTCAGTAGATTTAAGTGTGTGAACAGTATGTAGATCGTATAGACCTAACACTGCTCTCCTCAACAGGCTTCAAGAGCCCAAGGGTAATCATATATATATATATATATTTGGTTGCTTCGAGAGTGTGAGGATAACGATGGCGCCCCTCGTGAAAAAAATTACCAAAAAAGGAGTGTCGACAGAACATTAAATAACCCACTCGTCGTGGTCGTATATTCCCAAGCCTCATGAAGCGGGACCTTGTTCATATCACCCCGTTTACAAGGTGTATCCAAACTCCAGGTCATCGCCATGGATTTTTTCACCTCGATCAGCTTTGCCCTTTTGCCACCTGAAATACAAAGTCATGGTGCAAGTTGTGACGATTACACAGGCACAAGCACTGGATGATGAAAATGCAGTGGTTAGCAAAGGGGCCGTGGGTGAAACGGATTATGCGTAGTGAATATTCAGGATGCAAAGAGATGGTGAACTCACGACTAACATTGTATCTAATCTTCCCAGTCAAGTATAGATTACCTAAATAAGAAATCTATTTGCCTTCAATTAATTGATTTTTTTTTAATAAAGATTTGATGGGTATAAAATGATGAATAGGACGTGAGTAGGATTTTGACGTTCGGGGGGCAGAGCGCCCAGACTGATTTCCTGGAACTATAACTGCCACTCGCGAATGCACAAAAGAATGCCGCAAGCTATTGATATCAAGCTAGATTTAGTTGATATAATAAAACTACAAAAAAAAAATAGTACTCCCTTATCATCCATCTTCCATCTGGTCATAAAACAAATAAATAAAGACCAAGCGCTGATGTATCAGTCCAAGTTAACTCTTGGGAAGGCTGTTGTGGAAGTCGGCCCTCCTGGAACTCGGAAGCATTTCTCTGGTTATTCATTTCTCTGATTTATTATTGGACAGGATCGCCTAGCTGTTGAGCCCTGGCGAACTTTCCAGACCCTGCCTGCACCCATGGGCCGTGGAGTATTTAAATTTTCTGGGGAGTTTGGAGCCGCGAAGATTGACGGTGCCATCAGGGTTCTCCGGAAAGTCTCCAGGCTTTTGGTCAACTGTCAACCATGGAAGCACCAGTGTTAGCATATCGGTCACACGTTTTCTTATTGAGGCAGACGCACGATTGCAACGGGGTAAAGAGGCGGTCACTGGGTATCAAACTTGCAGTTGCGATTTTCGAGAGCGCCCTGCGGGCACAACCACGAGAGTTTGACAACTAGTCCACTTTGTGGCAACTTGCATCGGGTATTCATCAAAGGCTAGGCTTAATACCAATGGCAGGTATTCAATATTTAACCCGTAAGAACCAAACCGGATATGCAGAGAAATGGCTGGTCAGGGTGGGGGTTGTTGAAATGCCAGTAATATGTTTGAACCTGGACGACTATCATGACAACAACTATAATTCAACCAAATGAAGTGATATACGAAAATGAAACGACCTTGCCAATGCTTATGCCGGACGTGCACTGCACTGTCTGCGCACACCGACGGGAACCTCGATGCTCCGATTCCAGATTATGGAAACAACAATTGTAGCCATGCGTTGCCACATTCCCCACAAGGGAGATAGTTAAGAATACAAGTACAGCAAAGACACCCTCACTAGGTCATCTTTTCGAAGCAAATACCTCCCCCACCACAAGGTCAATAAATCAGTTTTGACGTCTCAGAACTGGAGATAAATCGTCTGAGTTATCCCGCATTTAACCTCCAGCTCCCTTGTTGGCGCTTGACTTATTGCCGCATAAAAAAGAAACAGAAAAAAGCAAGAAAGAAAGAAAATTGTCGAATCTGGTTCGAATATTTCATAGCCAGGAAAAGGTGGGAATGCACTCGAACGATCTTGTTGCCTGAGGTGGTTAGTTGTGGGTAGAGTGGATTTGCCAGTTGGATGCCAGTTGGAGGCTTGGATTCCAATTCCCCAGTCTTTCTCCTCAGACAAACATTGGTTGTAATAACTGGAAGGGTATAGGGGATAGGAGAGCCAGCCAAGATACCGAATCTGAACACCTCATTTTCCAAATGCAATGGATCTGGGGAAACGGAAGCCAGGACCGCGAGTATGTTGGGGGAAAGGGGAGGATAGGGACGCGGATCAAATCGAGGTTAAAATGGCCGAGTAGCACTCAGCCAGATAGAAGGCCAGGTATCCGTTCAAGCCTCGAACAAGGGGACTTGAAGTCAAGGGGATATGGCGATCCCTGCAGCCAAAACTAGTATTGCTGTACCAACATAGGAGAATCACTCATGTATACATACCTACCTCCATGTACTCCGTACGATTTTCGCACTTGCTAGCACCCATGCTACACATTAACTAGCCACGTACAATCGATCGAATGATCGATTGGGAGGGGCGGCTGGCGCAGGGGGTTAAAAGGAGACTTAATTTGCGGTGTGGTATGGTGGGTAGCTGTCATGTCCATGAGGAGAATACTTAAATGCCACCACCTCAAGTGGACAACCAGCAATGATAATGATATATGATATCAGGTGGCCGAGCTCTGCACACTTTTCGGATTCCCACTGGAAGCAGACGAGATCAAAAAGAGATGTGTCTCGGAAGCGCGTGTTTTTTTGGGGGTGGATGAAAAAAATAAAAATAAAACAAACAGGTAAAAAAGAAAAAATAATCATGACAATTCTCTTTTTCCTTTCTTGGTGGAAGACAAATTTCAACTTTATTAAACAACCTATACAATGTGCGAGCGGGTGAAAAACCGCACCTATGGGAATTTGCCCGTTATTTCTAAACTAATCCAGCCACCTGGCACTCACAAAGTGTATATATATATGTAAACTAACATGTGCATTTCTTTCCCTATCTTTTTCTTTTTGTTTTTTTGGGCGGTGGCACAAACATCGAAATCGAAAGAAGAGAGGTTACAAAAACATGATCCTATACATCATTCACTCGCCTGCTCGAAAACGGCCAAGGTGGAACAGAAGTTATTCCGATTGTCAATCTGCTTCACCAGTCCTTGACCCCCATTCGTTCTCGTGATCATGTTTGTGCTGGCCTTGGTGCTGATGCCGAACAGATGCACAGGCGAACAGTCCACCTCAATCATGTTTTCCTGGCAGGATTCCGTGGCCAGGCATTCCTGGCCGTAGTTCTCGAAGAAGCTATACAGCCCGCCGCCGTAGATGAACACGTCGGTAGAGTCGAGGATTCGCAGACCCCAGGCTTTCCTGCACAAGTCCGTTTTGCAATTGGAGTAGTCTGGGTCGTGGAAGTCTGAGTTGGGCTTGAAGGGGACCAGAGCGTTTGGATTAGCTTGATAGTACGGGGTTTCCACCTGGATCAATGCCATGAAAACGTTTTTGGCGCCGACAATGGAGTACTGGTAGAGTTGGGAGTGTTCGCTCGCGGAACCGTAGAGCCATACTGGGCCAGTGCTTTCTATCAGGAGACCACGGCCATTATAGATATTAATCTGTCCATGATCGGCCAAATCCAACTCATGATCCGAAACCCATAGCCAATTATTTTCAAAATATCCAGAAGCCTCCTTTGTGATGTGCATGAGCATGAAGGCACCGACGCATTTGGGGTCCGGTACGGTTTTGCTCTTGGGAGTCTTGGCGCAGTGGTCGCTCTGGAGTTCCGTACCGGCGGAACCTCCAATTCTCATGTGCACGTCCCACATTCCGACGGAACCTTGCGTTGTTTCAGCAACATTCCACTCGACCAGGATGGCGCCGGGTGCAGGTCCTTTGGTTTCAAGCACCAGGTCGCTAATTTCAACATTGCCCTTGTCGCCTTTCTGCCCAACTTGGAGCATTGGGATGGGCTTTGATTCGTCAGAGAAGGCGGGTCCAGATGCCATGAGCAGTGGCCAGATTTCACCGGTGATCTTGATTTCCTTGGGAACTTTGATCGTGGAAGTAATGACATAAGCTCCATGGTCGAAATATACGATTTGCCCTGCTTGCGCGCTGTCTAATGCTGCTTGGATTGCTTTTGTATCATCAGTTACTCCATCGCCTTTGGCGCCGGCGCCCTTGACGCTGATAAATGACCCTTTGGGGATGCCCTCATATTGTGGCTTTGTCCGCTCAAATACCTTTCCCGATCGGTCAAGGAGAACTGCTGGTTTAGCGGGACTACTGATCCTGGAGCTGATTCGAGCCTTCTTAGGAGGCGCTGTCGGGCATGCTGCGGGTGAAGTTTCTGTTGGCGAGGGGGTGGGTGATGGGGGAACAGAAGATGAAACAGACGATGGGGATACCGTTGGCGACTTCGACTCCGTACCCTCTGGCTTGTCTTGCGATGGCGTTGGATATTTAGTAGTAAACGGTGGTGGTAGAGGCGATGGGGTAGGCGCTTGGGAAATTGGAGCCGGTTGAGGTGGAGGTGGGTAGCGGGCTTTGCACGAATCCCGCTTGATTATACGTTCCACCGTATAAACAGGAACTGGTCCCTCTACTCGAGGTTCGGGCTCCCTCTTAGAGTTCTGGATAGTTGCGTATGACCCAGAGGTGAACGCATTACCCTGTGCCCATGAGGAGACAACCGAGCCTCCTTTGAGAACAACTGAACCATCAAGATGGGCAACCGCAACGTCCGAGCCCGTGAAGTCGACATTATCGAGGATGAGGGTTCCACCTGTTTCAGGAACACTCTTATCATTGTAAGAGGTGACGACGCCCTTTGGAGTTCCGATAAATTTACTATCGAGGATCAGAACCGAGCCTACTGTCTGGTTAAAGCCGCCATTAGACATGTTCAGACCGACGCCACAATTGTTGACTGTCACCGATTTGAATGTCCATGCCCAGTTCCAGTTCATAAATACTGCTGTATTGCAGTTCGTGAACGTTAGGTTGCGAGTAGTAAACTGCTGGTTTCCCAAAAAGGCGCCGTAGTTACCACCATTAAAAACGAGGTCTGTCATAAAGCCTCCGGAGCCATTATCCATAAAAATACCCTGCTGTCTATTGGCTTCACCACCACCTTGGATCATCTCGAAACGGATGTTCTGCAGGCTGCTCGCTTGCGCCACTTGCCAATGGATACCAGCTCCGGACCCTCGATCCATGCCTGTTAAGTCAATGACAAAATTTCGAACGGATCGGAAAAAATTGTTTTGGTTGGTATACCAATTATTACCCTCGTCAGTGTACGGATCAGCATCGATGACGGCAATCCCCTGAAAGGAGGAGGCAGCCTTGATGACGGGCAGATTCAAAGCGTCACCAACGAGTTGGGTGTAGTAATACTGAATAATTGGCTTGGAGACGACATATGTGCCTGCTGGGAAATAGACTATGGCAGGGGTCACAGTCGAAGAATCGCAACCCAATCCACATCGATTTCCCGTTGAGATAGCTTTGTTTATCGCCTCAGTATCATCTGTGGTACCGTCGCCTGTGTTTACACATGGAAGGTCAGCAATGGTTCACTATTCACGGAGCAGAGAATCGCGTCCAACAGCGTTCAAACAATACCTTTTGCACCAAATTCTTTAACGTTTCGGTAGACCTGATACTCGCCACTTGCCGTTCTGAATGCAGGGGAACCTCTGCGGTCAATGGATCCCACCCAGAAACCTGATGCCTGAGGAGTAGGGTTTCCCTGGGGCATAGGGATAGCATTGGCAAGACTAGTCAACCCCCCCAACAACAGCCATACATGGGTGACGACCCAGAGGACTGATGATGATAACATCATCGTGTTGTGACCAAGAGGCCAGGGAACACTCGAAGCTGAACACGGAAGCAAAAGTAGTTAGGAAAACGTGAGGATTGGGAGACAAAAGGTTCCAGTGCACAGCACCGGGCGATTAAGTATGTAAACAGTTGGGAGCTAAACGACAGTGTGATTGAAAGCGGACATGGATAGAGAGTGTGAGAAGCGAATGTGAGAGGATTTTGAGGAACGAGGATGAATCTGAAGGAGCGCAAGAGAAGAAGAAAAGAAAAGAAGAGAAGACAAGTGTTGGTATCAAGAGCAGGCTGTCTGGAGGATGCGGGGAGGCCGTGCACCACCAGGGGGAAGTTCCGTCAACAATGCGATTGTTAGTCAAAGAAAAACCACTGTGGATCAAGCAGCAGAAACACTCAATGAAGACACCCACTGCACACAAAGAACAGAAGTCAAGAGAGTGAGCGGGAGGGAAGCAGAAAAAAGAATGCTTGCATCGGAATTGGAGCTGAAGTACGGAGTACACCGTACTCACTCCTATATAAGTCTGTATTGTCTGTATCGCACCGGTACCAGGCGGCGCCTTACCAGGCACGGCGCTGAGCTTATCGCTGATTCGCTGCGTAAGTCAGTGACAGAACCGGTGCCCCTGGAAGCTTAGCTGCGCCCAGCCAGCGCCAGCCACCATCAACCACTCACACAGGGCGCCCGAGCCCTAGCTGCGACACTCCCTGGAACAGCGCGAAGGGACCTGTTTCGAGTTTGCCGTGATGAAACAGCGTGGTTGATGACCGTCGATGAGAGTGCAAGGTATGGAAATGAGCAGGAGAGAGCCGGATGTATTGGTAACATGCCAACGAGAGGAGAGTACTCCGTACTGGCCGATTGACTCACTTGTTGGGCTGCTTCAATTTATATCAGTCGTCTATCCCTTTTCACTTCCAATTTGCGGAACGGCTCTGCGGGAGTTGCCCCACGCGCCCAGCCATGGAGTATCAGATGAACAGGAGACTGCCCTGCTGATATGTTCCAGCAGACACACAAGGACGGAGTACGGAGTACAACGTACACATTGGGATGGCCAACAGTCTTCATACGGGCAGGCAGCCTCACAGGTAAGTCTAGCCCAATAACTAGTCGTGGAGGATAGTGTGCACCATCCAAGATCTATTTTTTCTCTCCCTAACATGTCCTCCGCATTTATTTTTCTGCAAGCATGGGTGAAATCATAATGCTAATTTCCAGGTTCTTGGTAATAAGCAAAGGCCGGCGATCGGCAGCCCAGGATTTTAGCACGCGCCACTATGAGGGCTAATTGCTTTCTAAACTCGCGCCGGCCGCCGGTTGCCAGTTAGCCCATAAACCAACCAGGGGAAACCCCATCTATCGTCCATGCCGATTGGCTGGATTGCACTAAAAGATACGGGGGATTCAAGTTGGTGAGATGTTGTCGCCCTTTCAACATTTTCAACAACCTGAACCTCCTCCATATGTACTCAGATGATATCCCCTCCCGCGTCTATCACGATGACCTTCCCAAGGACCCAAGGTTACAGAGATCTACGGAAGGCTGCACAACATAAAGTCAGTTTGTGCCTTCGAACTCTCTCGATCGTGGGTGGACCCAATCAGGCGGCGCTAAAATCGAACATAAAATGTGGCTGGTCCATCTCAGCACCCCTCGAAACGGGACTGCGGAAAGCTTCAAGGGTGCCAGAACAAAACAAAAATGATCAAGGGATTCAAAAATACCACTAATGTTATTAATACAAGGCAAGCTGGAAAAATTCTATGTGCTAGACATATACTCAGAGTAGTAGTAGAGGAAAATATCAACATATCACAAGGCCTCGATCGATCGATTTCCCAGGAGGAGATATCTTTTTTTTTTTTTCCAGCGCTTGCAGCAATGGTCAATAGTATCTTCTGATCGAACGACTGACACGTAGCTTTTTTTATTTTTTTTATTTTTTTCTCTCATAATTTTTCTAAGGCTATATGCAGTCTGAGACTATGACAGTCTTCACCTCACTAGTCTACTCTTACTACTCTCTAAGTTACATTTCTCTATTCATAACTGAGTCATGCTTGATGAAGAGACTGTTATATTAGGCCACTAGGGCAAAAGAGCTCAATCACCACCAGCGCCGTGGTGGTATATAGAGGGTACGAATCACCCAATCCAATCCCCCCAACATGTTAGGCACTAGGTAGTTGCCCAGGCCGCCCTCCACCGCACGTGATTACCCTTATATATATAGTTAGTAACTAACTACCCAAATGGGCAGCTCGAGCGTCATTCCAAGGCTGTAGCAACGTATGGCAGAGAAATACTTCTATCCGATCCCGCCACGCTACTAGCCATAGTATTGATATCAGAGAATGTCACCATAAAGAGCAATCGAAGGCCGACCAACAAAAATAAGAAGTCTACGAGCGCGGTTCTTGGGTCGGTTGGTGCATCGAGAGTCATCAACGCTCGGAGGAAAACAAAGACGTCAGTTCAGAATCCGCGCTTCCTCAACGATGCGCTAGTGTCTGGTCCGTCTACTCTACGACATGGTGATACAGGACGGGCCACCAGGGCACACAATAGAGCGGCCACGGCCACGATGAACGCGGCAATTCGAACGTTTGCAACGGCATTAGCGGAGTCGCCATCTGACACGGCACCGCTGCGCAGAAGCCAGCGTATCAGGGACTTGAAGGCCAGGAGAAATGGGCAGTCCGAGACGAAGCTGAGGGAGAATAGACAAAAAGTTTCAAGGAGCAAATGTCAAAGAAAACCGAAGGAGCAGGATCGGACTCTATAGGCCAGACCGCAAGGGATTACAAAGTCTCGAGTGACCGGGAAGAGAAATTTCTCTCGGCCCGCCAGTTCTGGATTTTTGAACTGGAACTTTTGAACCGTGACCAGTATAAACCGTGGTGGGAGCGTTTGGATGCATGACTGCATCAACATCAGAAGTCAAGAATTCTCACCTGGCAATACATTTTCCAATACCCATGAATAGGATCCAAAAATGGATTATTATATCTATGTAAGTCTCAGGGACATTTACGTATTTTCAAGTGCTATATACGCAACCTGTACTCCCCGCTGCATGCAATGCTTTGAATATTCGTGCAGCTTGGGCAGCATATCATCTGTCATGTTATCAAATGCGTCGACGAGGGTAGGCCTTGTAGCGTGCTTATTTCGGAGCTGTTCTGCGACACGCAGGCTAGGGGTTAATGGCCCGCCTTGAGGAGCCCATACGTACAGTACATTAACGTTCAGATAAATCGCGTCTGATTGGTCAACCAGTGGTCCCACTTAAATCGCACCATGCACTACAGCTTGATATTAGCATCCTTTCGATTGCCCCATGTAGCCTGCAAGAAATCAACGGTCGACGAATTAGCAAGATCGGGATGACAGACTTGAGAGGAAATATGCGATCCATACCTTGCTAAGGGTGAAAAATGAGTATATCTTGATCAAACTGTGGACATAGCCGAAGAGGATGGAGACGGGCAACAAGAGAAGATCCCGCGGATGCCGCCGGTAATGGCCAACCAGCTTGACGAATTTGGTGAAAGCGATAAATGCAAAGAGCTGCGCCATTGAGGGAAGATATGGGGCGGCATATGTCTCAGTCCTCTTGTGGCAGAGCCATATCAGGAGAGGTTCAGTTATTAGGGTCAGCTGAAAGGGGGTTGTAAGGAATACAGCATATGTGCTCCAAGGATACCTCCTGGAAGGATCAAATTAGCAAGAAAGATACAGAATTGCACTAAAGGTGACTCACTGCCAGGTAGCCCATTCAAACAAGCTGCGCAAATTGCTCCGCCAGTTACTCCGAGACCATCGTATGCACTGCTTCAGGAACTTCCAGCCATTCTCTAATGTTGTTTGAACCTCCGCCTTGGGATCATTTTGAAAGTACATCTTCCATCCATGATTGATTATCCATCGTGTTATGAAGTTGTCATCATCCGCGTTTAGAGGCGTCCCAGACCATTGCTCATTGAGAAAAGACTAATGGAATGCTGCATCTTTCACCATCTCAGTGCGAAGGACTAACGTCCGGCCGGAAAGACAAGGCACTCCTCCATCCATAAACATGGTAGTGATACAGTCGATGTTTCTCTGCTCTAAATAAAGTGCCTCGAGGAAATACCATACTTGTTCAAAGGGTCCCATATCACTAGGTCGCAGGAGACACTGACGAGTGGCAACTCCTCCCATCCTTCGATCCTCAAAGGGAGCCAAAATCCACTCTAGAAAAGGTGTAAAACGCCATAAGACATCATCATCAGCACAGATGATGATACGTGTTTTCACTTTTTTGATTGCAACTGCCGTTTGATGCCTCTGATTTGGATTGCGGACACTTTCCACCTTCACCTCCATTTGAAAAGACTTCCTTATCCAAGTTGCAGTTTCCTCGGCTTTTGCGTGGTTCTTTTTAATGGTCGATAATATGATCTCGTGCGGTTTATGCCGGCAGATGGTCGTGAGGGTTTCCACCAGTTGCGTTCCATGGCCCCCAAGCGTGGGGATAATAACTGTGACATCACGAGATGTGACAGATGGATTTTCCGGGGGGGACTTGGTTTATATAGGAGTACTGCTATGCAATTCACCACAAGACGAACATATCGGTAGCAAAAATGGATCCAGAAGGAAAGCAGCGGGAGCCAGAAGGAAAGGAAACCCAAAATAGCGGATATATTAAACCCTGGAACACGAAGATAGTAGGGGATAGGAAATTATGTCAAAGGACAATGCAATAAGGGTGGGAGCATGGCCTATCTATATGGAGTCAGCAGGAGACTCCTATTTACCATGCGGCAGGTTATGGGACCACATTATGTAGGCCATTCTGGAATCAGGTCAAAGCGATCTTCATTGGGGAGGTTACGACTAGCACGAGAGGAGATTGTGCTGCGCTGCAGTTCAGCACTTACATTGGCAAACTTTCCACCTCCACGAGGCGGGGGTCTCGACATTCCCCCATTCTCAACGCGCACGTTTCCTATTTACAACCGCGGACATTATGCTTAGCCCATCCTTACTGGATATATCTCCTGCAGCCAGTCGCAGGGCTGATGGTGTAAAATCAATCGTCGAGCAGCCAGCAAGCGTGGATAGGTTAATAAAAAAAAAAAAAATCTGATGGTGGAATCCGCGATCCGCGAGCTTGGTCCGCTAGGGAGGCAGTAGATAAATGCATTAATCATTTGAATATTAGGTAGAGCGGTTCTGCACCGCCGAGCCACGATGTTGCAGCTTCACAGTAAGAAATGTGTCACTATTCCTGGCGTGAAATGGCTTCTAGGCTCCTGCTCGAGGATATTGTCCACCAATGCAATTATTTCCCAGGCATAAGAGTCGCCCATCTTGAATTCCACCAAGGGATGACATCGATCAATGGAACCCGACGGTGCACCGCGTCCAGGGTCAATGAACCCCTGTCGGAATCTATGCACAATACTCATCACAACCTCACTCCGAATTTGGAACGGATAGTCTTCTAGGTCGTTAAAATATGGCATATCAGCTTCTAATCAGACGTGCAGATATCGAGAGCGTAGAATCTGGAGCTGCGTCGGCACGCTATCCCGGACCGAAATCCTCATCCATGAGCAAGGTACTAACATTAGAATCCATGGTCTTAGCGCGCCGACTCGCACATAAGCTAGTGCCGATTGTGCCCAAGCGCAGCTTGTCCGCGTTGAGAGTGCATCACCAAATTTGACAAGCTAGGCCGAGACGCTTTTGGAAGGTCGTCCCGCGCCACCCAGAATACACAGAAACGGTCTAGCATAGCACGCATAACGGGAATATTGGTAGGAATTCCGCAACTCTTGATAATTGGACTTCATTATTACTAGGAAACAAACGCAGAAACTATAACTAGTCCCAAAGGCTCTCCAACGAGTCTCACAATCGAAGACACTCTTCCTACTCACTAAGCACTACTGCTTCTTCCTTGGCCTTTTGAATGTCTGCTCGGTTTGTCGAGTGAAGGAGGTGGTCGGTGTAACATTCTCTGAACCAATAAAGCTGCCCTGACTCGATCGACCGTCGTCCGCGTTGAAAGATTCGACATTCGATCGTTGGGAGAAGTTAAGGTCGGAGTGTGAAACATCAAAATCCAGGTCAAGGGGTATCTGATCAATCGCCGCGCAGATTCTTTTCAGGTGGATGGGCACGAACTTGTCGTAGACATTCCTCGTGAACTTGTACGCCGTCCATTTCTCTTTTCCATCCAGAGAGGTAAAATCAAACTTGTGGATTGGGTGGCGGTGGAAATTTGTCTTCTCTCCTTCAAGAACAGCATAGTGACCGTAGATCCTCACTGCTGTATGATCATGTGAGATTGAGAAGGCGAGTATCTCTCGGTCGACCTCTATTTCACACTTCACGAGCTTGAATAGCTCAACAGTAGCTCTCACTGCAATAGTGGCACTGTGAGCATTTTGTCGATCTGCGACATCAAGTGCCACCTCACCGCATTTCACCTCACATATCAGGAACGGAAGATACATAGTATCTGTAGCCATAAAGAGAGAGGTATAATCCCAGTCATCTATGAGCAGCTTGAGTTTTACAAGCTGATTATCTGTGAATGCAGACCTCCTGAAACCCACAGAATAGTCGGGCTGTGGACGTGGCCCGTAGAAAGGGATGCTGCAATTCCAGGCTTCATTGGTACCTTCAATCAAGCACTCCAACTTGGTGGCACCATAGGTTGCCAGAATTTCCGCAGAAGGAACAATCAACCGCATAATATCTAGCATTACTCTAGTCTCATTTTTGCCTGCTAGCTTCCAGCACGTTGTATCAAATAGGTCATCTCCGAATAACGATTCATCATGGACTGGCTGATCTGTATCAAGCAGCGCCTTGATGAGAGCTTTGCTCCCATCTGTAATCCCGAGGCTGGATTTATCCATAAAGCTGCCTTTTGTTTCAAGCACGGTTCGGTAGTGTGGGTTCTTATATGGGGCGCTCTTTTCCTCTCTTGGCCTTTGATCACTAGGAGTTGTGGCACTTGATTCCAATCCCTTGCGGCGAAGAGAAGACGTGGACTTCCTCCTTGCAAGCGGAGAACTCATACTGCCGTCCTGTTTGAAAAAGATTTTGGGCCAACGTTTGCTCCGAAGCCAATAATCAATTGGGTTTATCTTGTTTTCATTGGCGCCGTTTGCCGCCTCCTGGTAAGTTGTTCCACAAACAATAGGGTTGTCAACAACGTCGAGAGATGTTCGTCGCCGCTTTTTGGCTGGAATGGGGGATGTCTCTTGAGCTTCTCGCAGTCGCTTCTGTATTCGATCTCTGGCTTGTACAAGGACGGATGGAGAGGGATATGGGTGGCTTTGTTCGGCGTTTCCGTCCTGATATATTTAATACAGTTTTGCCTTGAATGCGATATGTCTTTTCCAGGCGAGCGCTCCTGCGGACAGGTCCCTGTGGTCGTTCTTTCTTCACGCCTTGACGCCGCTTCCCTATCAATGAACGGTCAGTAATAGGAGGCTGGCCGACGCATGGGTGACTACCTTGGACATGTACTTCCATTACTGAAGGTTGCTGCGATGACTTTCTGATGTTTGGCTTTGCGGGATACCCAGTCTTTCTCGCGTCTGACCTTTTCTGGGGTGGGGCCATGTTAATTGGATGAGAGACGGGGCAGAAGTGCTGCTATGTACGAAAGGGAGGCTTCGTGTTAGGTTCTGGGGAGAAAATCGAGAGAATGCTGACTAAAAATTTAAGCGCAGAGACACCAACCTTAAGAATACCCGCCTTGTGACACCAAATGCGCGGACTGGTAAAGACTACAGCCTCTGCTTTAGGGCGCCGCAAAGTGTTCTGGAAAGTAACCGTGCCAAGCGCATATCACTACCTCCCAGTCTGATTGTGTTGTGTGATTGACATTTATTGATGAAGAGCATTTTCATCATATGATGAAGTGGAAGGTGTCTTATTTAGTGATGTGTCTCACTCACTGATGAATTAACATAATCCATCAGTAAGTGGGCCACATCATCAAGCAGGCCACTTTCCACCTCACTGTATAATTAGAATGTCTTCAAAATCTCAATTTCAGAGAAAAAATAAATAAATTATATTATAGATTATTTTTTATATGTTTAAAATATGTATAAACAATATATTCAAAATTTAATATTTTTTATAAATAATAAAATAAAATCAGAGTTATAATATAAACAATATAAAGTGACTAATTTGATAAACAATATAGTTATGGGATCAGGATTAAATTATTTGATAATGAGACTACAGACAAGTTTAGTCCCAGTCTCATATAGCGTCAATAAAGGGTCTGAGCTTGCTGAGATAAGATTCAACAGTTTTTCTAACTATATAATATAGAGAGATTATCTACTCCTTCCAAGAACTTTCAAGAGCATCAGAATTTCATGAATAAGGGTCATTTTTTATCTGAAATATTTCGTGTCTCTTGTTTTGATTCACTGTGTATATATATTTATTTGCTTGTTTTGGGCCCCGCGTTCATAATTCTTTCCCCTCGTTTCAGGGTAGAAATGTTCTCTATCTCCTTTGTTTATCATCCACTTTTCCATGAAGTCACTCTAAATTTTTTAGGAAATATTGCCGATTTTGATACCCAGATGTGTCGTTTGGGAAGGCTAGATGTGTAGTTGGCAGAGTGATGGAAATTCAGGGCCGAAAAGGAGCAAGGAAAATCGTGTGTGTAATTCATCAAATTTTCATTCGATATAACCTAAATCCATTCTCGATCAATGACCCCATTACAACTACCAGAGGGTATCAATGATAAAATTTCATTCAATGCCATGCCATGCCGTTTCCCATGCTTATCTCCTGTTTCACATGCAAATAACCAACGATCAGAAAATACAGGAACAATGATGACATCGATGAGAAGTACAGTAAAAAAGAAAACACAACAGAATGCGTAAAAACGAAAAATGGAAACGAACATAGAAAATCCCGAATGGGATATCAGGGATATGAAGGCTACGCGTATTTGTTAGTCCACATCCACGGCAACATAGTCCCGCTCCTCCTCCTCTTCCGACCGAACACTGGGGCTTGGCGGCGACCGTCGGCCAGCTGTCACACTGCCAGCCTCCGAAGCCTCATTCTCGGAATCAATCTGCATAGCCTGGGACTCGACGCCGGTTTCCTCCTTCTCACTACCATATGCACTTCCCGCATCCGCCTCAGACGCGCGGCCATTCTCATCCCTGACCTGATCCACCGAGATTCTCCGTTTGAGCGAGTCCCTGTCGACAACTATCTTCGGCACAGTGACGACGAGCACACCATCAGCCAGTTTCGCACTGATGTTGTCCGCGTCGACATGTGCGGCGGGCCGGTCGCGGGATCCAAGGCTGATCTCCCGCTCAAAGACGCCGACTTCGCGAGATCGCCCGTCGACGACGAGGGCGTTGCTGAGCTCCTCGTCCACGTTGGGGCGGTACACCACGCCCGCGAGCAGGAGGGTGGAGGTCTCGACATTGTAGTCGACCGAGATGTCCTTCTTCTGTGCGCCGGGGAGGGAGACGTGGATGATATATTGGGCCGCCGTGTCGAAGACGTCGGCGCGGGGCACAAAGTCCACCTGTTTGTCGTCGGATCGTCCAGCTGAGGCGCCGTTGACTAGGTTGAACACTTCGCTGATGTCAACGCCGAATTGGTTGGAGAAGTTATTGATGAACTGCTGGAGGAAGTCCGGGGGTGTCCCTGCTGGCTGCCCGGGGCCGGGTCTGCAGTGGCGCTGTCGGCGATGAGGACCCCAGGCAGCATGGACAGCATGCCCCCAAGGCCCACCGCGGCCACGACGGCATCCGCGGCCACGGAATGGAAGATCCCTGATGTTTTCCTCCTGCTCAGGTTCTCTAACGCTGCTTTCGTCAGCCCCACCGGCACGGGGTTGGGAACGGCTATTGTCGTTGTCAGGGGCGTTCTGGGCTCCTGAATCCGGTGGGGTAGGTTGGTTTGTGTTCTGGGTTCGTTGATGGTGATGGTGATGCCGATTTACATGTTCAGCATAAGCGTGGGGCATCTGTTGGGGAAACATGTGAAGTCCATGCTCCCCTAGGTCCGTCAAGATGTTCCATAATGGGTGGGGCTGCTGGTTGAAGTAGTAGACGTTTGCCATGTTGGTTTGATCGAGATTTGGTTAGGTTGTAGAAATATATAACAGAAGATTGCGGGGTATCAGGAATAGGGTTTTTTGTTTGTCTTTTCTTTACGTCTGTTTAGAATCAAGGGGGAAGAGAGGTAAGGACACAAGTATTATGGAAAAAAAATATATATATAAAAAAAAAAACGATAAATAGAGACATATGAAGCACGGTATATATAGACCACAATTGAAGGCAGCCTCTTAATTACGTGTCGTACGGCTTACAACTTCACATTATTAAGCAGTGCTCGAAGTATCGAGAACAACCCAGAAAATATAGTACATCCATTGTCTCGAAAATGATAAGAGTGAGCAAGTATCCCACCCCCGGTTTGGAATCCGGTGGCGGGCCAACAACTGCATTTCTGCTCCAAGGCAACAACATTACGCCAGGGTGGGAAACCCCAAATCGTCCAACATTACAACCTCCCGAAAATATCATCGATTGCATCTCTATTCTGCTTCTTTTGTTTTATTTTGATCTTCTTCCGCTTCTGCCGGGCTGCCTCCTTCTCACCCTCATCCTCATCCAACTGTGTCAATGAGCTCTCCCACCTAGACTTCTCTGTCATCCCCAGTTTTTGTCTTTCTCTGATAGCATCTGAAACAAAAGGACTTCTCTTCCTCTCAATCTTCTCTTTCTGCCCACTATCACTCTCTTTCTTTCTCTGTTTCTCTTTCTCCTCAAAAGCAGCAGGATCCGCTGTCAGTTCTGGGACATGTAACAATCTGTTCACCACCTCTCCAACATCAACACCAACATCCTCACTGCAATTGATGGAGACAGCAGGAACAGCAGTGGCTGTAGTGGCAATAGCTGACATTGAGTTGTTATCAGTGCTAGTGTTGGATCCCATAGCAAGCAGATGAAATTCCTCTATATGTGCAACAGCCTTTGCAGCCTGTGCTAGCACTGCAAGAAGAACAACACCCAGGGCAGAGAATTGCATATCTACAAGAATAGCAGAGAAGGCACTGTGGTAGAGCTTTAGTAATGAATCATTCCATTTTCAATGATGTGTGAATGGAGAGAAACAAAATTCAGGAAACACAAAGGATGGTGGAAATGAGATTTGACAATGTATGGTAAAACAAGCTGAGCTATGTGTGTTGACACACAAAGAGACTAGTAAACACACACATAGTCACTCATATATATATATATGTATGTATATTTATGAAGAACATTGACAAATCTCAAACCCATCCCTGGGAAAACAAGCAATCAATCAATCAGGTATGTTTGAAGCTAAGGATTTAAAAAAACTCTCTTTCACTTACACATAACACCGCGGCACAACAAAGACATGCAAATAGCACATCCTCTTAAGAATCTGTGTCCGAAAGCTGCTGTCTCCATCATCATCATCAGCAGCACTGTGCTCCTGCTTCCACTCCCATCTCTCAACATCTCTCATCAACTGTGCTATCGACCGCTTCAGCATTGCCAGCCATTTCCACCACTTTGTGCTACCATGTTGATTCTTGTTGCGGTGGTGGAGGAGGTGGAGGGTTGTGTGGACGGATTTGAGAGTTGAGGAAGAGGGGAGTTGGGCAATTCTGCTGCTTCCTCTTGTTGATGATTTCTGATGGGTTGGGCGAAAAGTTTCCAAGGGCATGGCGAAATTATGAGGTCCCCGGCACTCGAACGCAGATATGACTTCCCAACTCCCTCAGGACAGGCTCTTAAGCTTCCTTTCCTTTTCCTTTCCCTTCCCCAGGCTGCATAATTCCTGTTGAACCAATGGATGATTCCGCGCGGTTCCAAGATTGGAAATCTCCAAGCTCTTTCCAAGGTTCCGGAACCCTCTGGAAGCAAAATTCACGTGACCGTTATCTTATCTTATCTTATCAGCATGTGATTTGGCGAGGTCGGACCCAATAGAAGAAAAAGTGTCTTTGCAAACGCGGAGGAAAATCGGGGCCAGAGAAAACCATCTATGGAGGATTCTATATTTTGTCTATCACAGGAAGAAGCCGAGGAAGCCGAGAAAGCCGACGAGAAGAAGGAAAAGAAACAAGGGAAGCGTGGAGACGGGAGACAAGGAGGATGAGAAAGATGGAAAAGAAGAAGGGAGAGGGAAAAAAAAGTGGACGGCAGAAGTTGGGAGTCCCTTTTAACATTTTCGAACTTTTTTTTTTTGGACTTCCTCGCGAATCCTGATAACTACTAGTACTAGTATCTAAACGCAGGGAGATATTACGATAATTCTCGCCGTGGGAAAGTTGAAACTCGTTCCCACATGTATTCCAAGGATCTCGCAGATCATGCAGGAAGCTCATTCCGTTCCTTCCCGCAAGTATCTTTGTTGATAACTACTCTCCAGCACTAGGCTGAGTAATAATGAGGTCATGTCGAGTCTGTTCTTGTATTGCGGGAGATAACAGCATGTGTTTGGTCCGGGGACCGAAAGAAGTTGGAATGGAACATTTTTACATAAAATGGAAGACGTTTCCCCCTCGTGAAAATACCAGGCTTGGTAGGTGGGATGTTAAAAATTTTATTTCACCGAACTGGCGGGTTTCCTGATCACCTACTGGCCCCATTTGCGCAAGAATGGGTTGGCTTTCTCCAGAATTTTGTCACATGCGGGTGATCAGTGATGCCCAGTTGCGGAGGTTGGCTATGAGCTCAGGAGCCTTGAGAGTGTCTAACCGCGCCTTTCGAACCATGTACGCCGAGACCCAGGCAGGTGTTCGCAATTATACTACTGATCCTGCGCCCCGGGAAAACGAAGAGCGCGTTGTCATCCTAGGCTCGGGATGGGGCGGATGGACGGTTTCTCGGAAGTTATCACCTTCGAAATTCAACCGCACCATCATTTCCCCTCGTTCATACTTCGTCTTTACCCCACTCCTCACAGACGCGGCTGTTGGGTCACTCAATTTCTCCGAGATTGTCGAGCCCGTTCGTGATCGGAAAAGCAATATCAATTTTATCCAAGCGGCCGCCCAAAGCGTAGACTTCCATCGGAAAGTGGTAACATGCGAGGCTTCTGTTGTTCAGAGTGGCGTGACGGAATCCACTCGTGTGGAACAAGATCAGCCTGAGAAGCAACGGAGGGCATGGGAGCAAGGTCAGCTCTTTGAAGTCCCGTATGATAAGCTGATTATCGCCGTGGGCTGCAACCCTCGAACCTTCAACACACCTGGTGTAAGAGATAATGCGTTATTCTTCAAAGACGTCGGCGATGCGAGGAAGGTTAAACGGCGTATCCGTGAATGTTTTGAGCTGGCGGTGATGCCAAGGGTGACTTCTCAGATGAGACGACATCTTCTGCGTTTTGCTATCGTCGGTGCAGGTCCCACCGGGACAGAGCTTGCTGCGTCCCTGTGTGACTTCATCCACGAAGATATGTTCAAAGTTTACCCGCAACTGAAGGACGATGTTCGAATAATTTTATATGACGTAGCTCCCACAGTCCTTAGCACCTTTGATAAATCCCTATCTCGTTACGCAATGGAGACGCTGAAGAGGGAGGGCGTGACGATAAAAATGAACCGGCACATTGAAAAATTGCGCTGGGGAGAACCTAACACCGAAGGACTCCATGAAATGGACCCAAAAAGCTGCTTGACGCTTAGGACGAAGGAGGAAGGCGAAGAAGGGGTTGGTATGTGTGTCTGGGCGACAGGTAACGAAATTGGCCCATTCGTCAACAAAGCACTCAATACAATCGATCCATTTCCAATATTGTCTGCTCTCTCAAAGGAAACTGGAAGCCCCGTCACTGAACCCCAAAATACAACCTGGAAAGTGCATAAGACTCCTAAGGTTGGCGCCCTTCTCGTGGATAGCCACCTAAGAGTGCAATTGAAATCAGCAGGGGGCCAAATCGCTGTCTTACAAGATGTCTTCGCCCTTGGGGATACCTGTATGTTAGAGTCTGGCTCCCCCCCAGCGACCGCTCAAGCGACAAGTCAAGAAGCCATCTGGCTGGCCAATGTACTCAATCGGGGTAATCTGGACCGGTCACCCGGTTTTTCGTTCAAGAATCTCGGAGTCCTTGCATATATTGGCAGTTCTAAAGCGTTGATGCAGCTGCCACATGAGGGCGGTAGTGAGTTTAACAACAATGGATTTTTTCGCGGTATAAAAGGCTACCCGGCATGGCTGATTTGGAAAGGAGCATACCTATCCATGAGCATGAGTTGGAGAAACCGGCTGAGGATATTGCTCTCCTGGTTCTCGAATTGGTTGTTTGGGAGAGATGTGTCCAGGTACTAAGTAAGTCGATTGCGCTACTGCACTCACACAAATGGGCCTATCTCCGTGCTGCTCCCCACAGCCAGCTTTTGTATCTGGCTATAATTCCATTTACACTGGTTGATCCTTTTCCTTATCTTATTTCTAGATACCGTATTTCATAAGAAGTGAATGTAGCCAAAAGTAGGCATTTTGAAATTCATGGTAGAATGCAATCAGCCAGCTCGGCTATGAATCTGCCGAAAACCCCAATTTTTGCCAGTGTTGTTGGTTAGTTCGGCTATTTATAATAGCTCTCTGGATAATAAATAAATGGCTTTTGGGATGCACTCACAGTCATGCATCCCTCTCTATACTTTTTAACCACCTCCGCATCCTTGACGACGACATTGCATTCCACCCCATACTTGAAAACACAAAGAGGGGGGAAATCTCAACGAAGTGCACAAAATCTACTCCCCACCGAAATATGTCCACCGAACCTGCATACAAAGCCATTGCTCGCAAGAAGCTTGAGCAGCTCGAATCGCGCATTCCCAAAGCATGGCGTCTCGAGGGCCAATGGATCCCAACCGGTATGCTCTCAGCGGAAGAATCTGTCATGGTCACGGATAAATATGATTCGGTTAATGTGATGGATGTACCACGCAAATGTGGCCTGTTGAACGCAGAGGAGCTGGAGATTACGGAAAAATGGGACATTAAGGGATTATTGCAGCAGGTTGCTACAGGCGAGCTATCAGCTATGGAGGTTTCAGAGGCATTTTGCAAGGTTTCTTTTCCTTTTCCTTTTCCTTTCCTTTTATTTCCGCTCTTGAATTTTTCTCGACTATATATTCCTCGTGGAAGCTTTCATTCATATCTATCCTGTATACATGTAAACGTAATTCCATATCGCCTTGACCAAGCGCAAATCCCACTCAATACGTATTCACCACAGAAAGTGATAACATTCATCTCTTTGAAATATTATACATAAATACGATTTTAAATAACACATAGCTAACCGTCTCCAGCGCGCGGCAATCTGCCACCAACTCACCCGCTGCTTAACGGAGCCTCTATTCGAGCAAGCGCTGGATCGTGCCTCCGAACTGGATGCGCATTTCAAGCGCACGGGGGAAACTATGGGACCTCTCCATGGTCTCCCTATTTCTGTCAAAGACACCTACGATATCAAAGGCATTGACTCTACTACTGGCTTAGCCTGTCTTGCATTTAAACCAGCCACGGAAAATTCACCCCTGGTGGACCTGTTGCTCAACCTAGGCGCCATAATCGTTGCGAAGACCAACATCCCTCAAACCCTCGGCGCGCTTGATAGCGTAAATAATCTCTTCGGCCGCACTCTGAACCCCCTGAACCGCAAACTAACACCGGGGGGTAGCTCTGGCGGCGAGGGGGTGCTCGTTGCCATGAGAGGTTCAATGATAGGCTTTGGTACTGACATCGGTGGCAGCATTCGCATCCCAGCAATGTGCCTTGGGATCTACGGCTTCAAACCAAGCACGGGACGCGTCCCGTTTGGTGGCCAAATGAGCGGCAGTGTGCCTGGCAAGACACGGGTTAGCCTGCAACCTGTTGCCGGCCCCATTGCACGATCGATGTCAGATATAGACGTCGTGATGAGAGAAATTGTGCCGATAGCAGAGCTATATGGCGAAGATAGTATCCCCGGTCAATGGGGGGTTAGTGAGACACCACTTTCATTGACGAAACCGCGTAAATTCACCATTGGCGTCCTACCCTCCGACGGACGCATCCAACCTCTACCGCCCATCACTAACGTGCTGAACGAAGTAGCACAAGCCCTCCGCAAAGTCCCTGGAGTTGAAGTCGTCGAGGTGCCCATCCCCAAGGCGCTGGGTGATTGCCAACGCGTGGCAAACGAGCTTATGGGCCTGGACGGCGCTGGGCATATGGCTGATCTTCTAGAATCCACATCGGAGCCTCTCATTCCGTGGCTACAGACGAGGTTTAAGCGCGGCACACAAAAGACGCTTGCCCAGGCTTACGCGACTCAAGGGCGAAGGTCAGAAATAGAAAAGGAGATGATGAAGATGTGGACTTTGTCCCCTCCGTCCACTTCCGGTTTCCAATCTAGAGTCAGGAGAGTGGATGCGATCATCCACCCCATCGCCCCACACCCTATTCCTGAGCATGACCGTTACAACGCCGTCGGATACACATCCAGCTGGGTCCTACTTGATTACGCCGCTGGAACAGTGCCGGTGCGGAAATTCACAGAAGCGGATCTCGAACTTGGGAAGGAGATGGATGGCAGGATCTTATCGAATTGGGACAAGAGGAATATGGAGCTGTGTGCGTTTCTAGCTTTCCCTTTCCTCCCTCCCCTTTCCCTCCTTGCTATTAACCACATGGCTTGCAAAACAGGGAACTCCAATACCGTTGACCGACGCGTCTACCTCGATTCGCCACTGAGCATCCAGGTCATCGCCCCCAGGCTTCATGAGAACACCTTGTTTGAGGCGATGTGCATTATTGATCGCGCAGTGCGGACCCAGCATACCGGAAGCAGTGGACAGGGATGGAAGTTGTGATTTTTTCCATTTACCCTCGGCTGACAGTCATGGAACATTGACTATAGTTGATTTTGTGTTTTAGAAACTATATTATTCTGACATAGCACGCCCTAATATATATCTATACATATATATAGATAGATGCCGATATTATCTACGATGACTGATTCATGCATAGGTAGACGCGAAATAAGATTTAAGGAGTTTATAGCATGACTGGTTCCCCTAGTTTTCTCTAACAGTACATTTACATTGAAACATCAGCTCTATACCTTTGCAAGCACGATTCGTCTCGTCAGTGCAGGGAGGTTGACGAAATCGTGAACACCCTTTGATGTCGTGCTGCTAGGGGAACAACCGCAATAAACATAAACTGTCCCCAAAAGCCTAAGAAACGCATTTGAGGTAAGTGCTTAGAAACGGCATTTGAGTTGTGTATTCGGTGGTGCCCATAGGCACCGACGAAATGTTTTGATTGAACTGCCTAGAATCTAGAGACGCCTACCGACTATCTGGAAAGGCGAGTGGGACAAAGACATGCCACCCCTATGTATGTACAACTGGAACTATCCATACAACAACAGTAGTACGTGATAAAAGCAAAGGAAAATAAGTTACGGATAAGGATCTAAAGTTCCCGAACGGAAAGCTGATTCAAAGGCAAGGAAAACATAAGGAAGTTCAAAGCCATGTACCATGTTTGTGTACGTTTGGAACCGAAGTTGAAGGTGAATAAACCTGAAGAAAACAGAGGGAAGAAGATATGTAGAGAGAGAGATGTGAAACAAGAAAAATATTTTGCAAAGAAAGGGGTGGGTGGGTCATCTCCATAATTCCAGATAGGAGGATCGTAATGATCTGTTTTCAATATAGCCAAAAAGGCTGGCAGATTAGTATAGACTACGGATTAGGTCTTTGGTTGTCACACGAGTTATCGGTTCTAGAGGCTGGATTACAAGAGACAGATTTGGTCTGCCTTGCGAATGTCAGCGCAAGAATGATAAGCGAAAGAAAAAATTCAAACCAGGGTTGAAAATATTCTCATCCAATCCCTTGTGGTGATGGTTTGGAATTATTATGCGGTAGCCGCGGCAGATGGCATGCCATTTGGTGAAGCATGGCGTTTCGCAGGGTTTTCGGATGGCGCTTCATTCTGTGTAAAGTTAGTGTTAGCAGCGAAACCGATTTCGAGCCCGTTGAGCCCAAAAAACCAAATATCAACATAAAGTGAAACGAGTGCTGCTGGTTGGTTAGTAATTTTGTTTCTAAGGTAGCTACTTACATCCAACGCATGAATGTTTCTCTTTTGAACTGTTGGTTCAGACTTTTTCACGACTTTTTTCTTAGGTCGGGATGGTCGCACTTCTCCAGGTTGGAAGACATCTTCAGGAAGGTCGTAGCTATTGCTGACATCAGTAATGGTCCAAAAAATATTCAGGGGAGGGAACAGGTGACGCACTTGCGGACATGAGTAATATTGAGATCATTTATGCCAGGTTGGTACTGTGCCCATGAAGTGCAGGTACTTTTGAATATATGCGTGTCCGCCGAGATATCTAGCGATCTTGAGGCACCTTCGAGAGTCAGTTGTATCATGGTAAGTTATCGGAATGCCTACCTGGAACTAATGGCTTGAGTTCAAGTCCAATGTAGTATGTTGTCGTGTATAGTGTGCAGCCATTATCTCCATTGGGATGATCTGTTTCCGGCATTTTGATAGCCTCGCCGCCATTTTGAGAAGCCGCGGTGTGTTGGGGATCGTTACTCTCGTCGGTAGTTTCGGTTTTCGTGCCCTTCGCTTGGTACTTCATTGATCCGCCCATAACCTCTACGATCTCCTTCTCGTCCTTACATACATGAATTCTTTCGAATCCCTTCGGAAACGGATGGGCAATCTCGATCGATGATTTCCTATCGAGCGCTCCGACAAGATGTCGTAGTTTGGATTCCACAAGGCCTGACCACACAGATTGTGCATCCTTGCTGCGGCTTGCGGACGTGATATTGAGGTAATACTTATAATCCTGCGAGAAGAATGTGTGGCGAGTGAAAAGGTCGTTCCAAGACAGTTGCCCAACGAATATTTTGTCAGCAATATCCCCACCGCGTTTTAATTCTCGAAGAAGAACCGTCTTCGTAGATAGTGATACGTTGTGTGTCGCACACATAGATGGATATGCAGGTGTAATTATGGGCATTAGGTGATATTTATCGCCATGGTAAATCTAAACGATCCTGTTTGAGCGAAATACATCCGTAGTTAGAGCTTTGGAAACTGCACTTACCTGCGGGTTCCAAACTTTCATCTGGAGCGGACCTTCTTCTATAGGCTTTAGTAACACTGGTTGAGGCCATTTCCACTGATTCATTATGCGGAAAAACTTTCCCACGATCGCCGACCCTGTAGCTTGGGGATATAGCTGGCAGACTCTGGCAACAAGCATAGCCCATGCAACGCCTCCAGGGAACCCAACGATGTTTGAATAGATCGCTCGTCCTACAACAAACTGTATTAGCATCTGAAAAGTGAAACAGAGGTCGACGTTGCGTACGCTGTGCCCAAAGCTTGATTGCACGTAGCGCAAGCCGAAATGTCTTTTGTTGAGGGACAAGTTCCAGGATCTCATCCGTCACCCTTGTCCCGTTGACGCATCGTATCTCTTTCTCATCTAACCCACGTAGCAAATCCTTGTTCCTCAGGTCCAAATTCAGAGGCACGGAATGCACAAGGAGACGCGCATAGATAAGGTCAATGCTGATACCCGATAATTCAATTTTAATGATAGGAACGTAGGCATCTGGAACGGAAGTTAACTTTTCAATAGCGCCTTTCGGCGCCATATTTTCTAAAATGGGAGGAAAATCGGAAAAAAAGTCTTCGAACGAAACGTGTTTCGGGCCAACAACCAGGGTGTCAATATCAGATCCTATTGTATGACAATCGAAAGGTTAGTGTATACTTTCCCCACGCGTCGTAGGGCCGACACCTAGAATGCCAACGGACCTGGACCATATACGCCCAGACGATAACTGCCATATGTAAATATTTTCCCTCCAGCAACATCGATAGCCGCCTGCGACAAACCCTTGCGCCGGCTAACTACCTTAACAAACTCGACCGTCACCCGCTGGATCAGTTGTAATGTCTGTTTTCTAAGGCGAATGTAAAGTTAACGGTGGTGCCTCAAGAAAAAGACGAAAATAAAGAAGAATAGGAAGACAACTGAAAACAATAGTTGTTATCTGGATAAATACCTCCGCTCAGTCTCTGCCGGCGCTTCGAAGTTATTTTGTCGTTTTAGCTCGGTGGTTAGATCATCGTTGGCAGCGATCTCTGCTGGGGTGGGCAAGGCATTCGATACCGGAGGAGTCACTCCCCACTGCCTAGTCGGCGCTGCAGCCATAACGGTGAGGGCGGGCTGTCCCCTATATGACGATTCTGAACGCGATTTGGAGTTCACTCTGCCAAAATCGAGTGTTCCTGCTGCTTGCGAATGAGGCTATCATGGGTGGACAGATGGACAAGAGAAAATCAAGGGAGGAGACTAAGAGGCAGAAACGTGCAGTTGAACAAAGAAGACACATCCAGACTCACACGGTTGAACTAACAGAAATATGCAAAGAAAAGTGAAGGCAGGTGGCTGGAAGTTGGGCGAAGCCGTGTGAAGCTGTAGTCGGGTTGGTCTGGCTGAGTCATCAAATTCTAGACGCGCGGCAAAATAACTTGAGGCTGAATCCGCACAAAAAATCCCTAATATGGAAAAAGGCTCCTCATTGGTGAGTCAGGTCATGGAACCCTCTCTTGGAACATTGGAAGGTTTTGTTGAAGGCCCAGGCGTATGCTTGAACAACCTACATCTGCAGACAATTGGCTGTTCTTTTTTTCGCAAAAGAGGGAATGTACTTTTCTGAGTTTGCTAGGCACTTCATATCTTTCTGTGTGACCAGATTGGAAACCTTCCAAAAACTCTTGATGTGACAGCTGCTCTCTGTGATTGTGTATGCATGACTCATGTTCCTAGATTCTGCTGGGGTTTACATCAGCAAGGTGTTGAATTGCCATTCTGTATAGTTCTGGATTGGAGATGAACTTTTTCTGTGTATTATAAGACAGTCAGAGCAAGATGCTATTGCCTAATCATATAGTTGAAATATTCACAGTTGATATAGAAGGGCAATTCTCCATAGAGGAATCAGGGAAATCAGTCTAGTTTTGCTTGCAGAAGGTTGCACTAATGCTGAGGAGATATATATCTTAGAAAGACAACAAACAAATTATATTGACATGGCCTTTATCCAGTGGTCCTGGCTGGTGATACTCAGACAAATAGGCCCTAACCAACGCCACAGCAAACAGCAACTAACCTATGTCAGCGAAAGCAGTTATGTTGCTTTTCTCTTTGATGAGAGACTAAATATTGGCCGCCATATGTACAGTTACCTCTAGGAAATTTCAAATTTGAACCCTCATGCCATGGAGACTAAAGACGCAAACTATTGGGCGGCATCCTCACATGTATTAGGGGAATTCAATGTGTAGCCGCATGCATTGCAAACACCTAAAAAACCCGACCCTGGTTCATCTGCAATCCAATGTGGTAGGCCATCTTCGACTTGAGTTCTTCAATCAGCACACCCCTTTCATTTCAAATCCAGCCAAGTCAAAAAATAAGGATACTACAATCCAACTTAAAAAATTTTCAGCAAAAGCATGAAGTGGAGAATCATCCCGGGTTTTCCTGGGAATTACATAGGGTAGGCCTACACACTGCAGCGTACGCACGTCGATTGTCAATATCAGCTGTCTTCACGACGTAGAAGCAGACCATTAAAACCTTGGGTGAGAGCTAGCTTGGCATGAGGAAAGGGTCAATTCTTGCATTTCAGCGTAAGATGCTAATATATAATCATCACTCTGATCCTCAATGCTTGCTCCATGCATTAGTTAACTAGGTAGTTCAGATGATTGCGCATTATCCTATCACTTCAGATTCCTAGAAGCCAAAGAGAGTATGAACAATTTTACTCCTTCTTCTCATCCTTGCGATGAGCATCGTGGGTATGCCAAGGACCCAAGAGCGTACAGTGGATTCATACAACGTCGCCCTCATCTGCCCGATGGGGGTTGAATTAGCCGCGGTGGAAGGCATCCGCGTATATGAAGGAGCTTCTGGAGACAATCCCTCCATCCGAAATTAAGTAGACTCCTCTCGCGGTAGAATCCATCAAGGTACATCATTTCAAAAATTTTCAGCAATCAAATTGCCTGATGGGAAGTTAATGCAGCTTTGCAGGTGTCGGGACTCTCAGGGGGGATTGCAGACAAAATTTCCCAGTTGGAAGAGATGAACAAACTTCTTGTTTACAAGCGATAAATCTCACGTCCAAAAAAAAAAAAAAAAAAAAGAACGAATCCTTGCAGGTCGATCTCAAGGAGTCATAGGAAAATTTCCGCAGATGGACTGCAGGCGGTGGAGGATCAATTCGAGGGGAGTCCGGAGGAAACGGCGGGCGTCCTGAAGGCATAAATGCTAGTGGGGTAAGTGCTTTGACACGGTTGATGTGATAGACCTGAGCATCCTGCTTATATGTATGTTTAAAGTCGTGGGTGGTATGATTAGAAGCGATTGTACCGAACTGAAAAGGACGATACTTAAAAGATGGGCAGCGGGATTAACCCGAGTGGACAAATTTTTTGCAAAGTGGTTCCGCTCTCGCCGTTTTTTGTATAGCCCATCAGACGGTGACTTCTTCAATTTGAGTTGAACTTGAGTCAAGCAGATATCTGGCTGGTTTAGCGCCAATGCGGCTTGCGGCGTGGGTTTATATAGTATGCTAGTTCGCAATGGGAAGCTGTCAAATCAAGGATTTGGTAGGTTTAGCAACTTGAAACCTCTCACTATAACTATGTACTTCGGCTTACCAACGCTTAACTAGCGCTGGTAGTAACTAACTAAGTGGAGGGACATCCGACTCCTTGTCGATTCTCCAGCAAAGACATGACTCAATGGTCTCCTACTAATTTTGACCTCCTGGACTACGCCGCGTACGAAACATGAAACTTGAAGTAGACGGGAACGATACGATAATGGTGCTAACTGTTAGAGCTACTCTCGGTCCTCTTGACTTCTTTCGGCGGAGGCACGACCTTTCGGCAAAACAAAATCCCGGCCTGGTCCATTTGGAGTAAATATTGTGCTTTGGTGGTTGACACATGGGCAGCATATCGTCAATTGAACTCTGCGTCCCCTTTTAAGAGCTTGCACCCTCTTTACCCGTTAACCTCATATTTCTCCGTAAGAATGGGTAGCATCCGCCCTCCATTCGCTGAAGTTGAAGCATCACGGCCTGATTTCGACCATTCAGCGCCGCTAACCTGGACCAAATCACCCAATCCCGGTTGGAAGCAAGGACAAGGAGGAAACGATAACCAAGCCAGCCTGGAGAAAAACCATGTCGAAATCGACCCCTACGAAGCGGGCCGGACTGCACACCTCAATTACAAACTCATGATCTCCGCGATCGTGCCACGGCCAATTGGACTCCTGAGCACCAGATCAAGAGACGGGCAGACCTTAAACGTTGCCCCCTTCAGCTTTACGCAGATGGTCAACTTCGACCCCCCAATCATCGTCGTGGGGTTCACGGGAAATCCGGATCCGCCAAAGGATTCTCTACGCAACATCCTAGAAACGGGGGAGTGCGTTGTTAACACAGTGAGCGAATATCATCTTGAAGCTGTCAACCACTGCTCTATCAACGTGCCACATGGCATATCCGAATTCGAACTGTCAGGGTTGCACCCGGCCCCGTGCACGACAGTCAAAGCCCCTCGAGTTAAGGAGTCGATATTCTCGATTGAGACGAAACTCGTGGAAACAAAGGAGTGGAATAGCCGGGCAAATCCAGGGAAGAAGAGTGGTGTTATGGTGATACTAGAGGGGACGAGATTTTGGGCACGAGAGGATGCGATCGATGACGAGAGGAGCCTTCTTGATCCTGCTGTTCTTCGACCCGTTGCCCGTCTTGGTGGGATTTCATACCTAAGGTCGACAACTATGATGGAGATTCCACGACCCTCAGTAAATTAGGAAACTCTAGCATCGGGTTCTGGAAATTACCCGCCGCGTATGTAGACTATTTATAACTCGCTGGGATTTTCCCCTTGCACTTTTTTCCCTTACCTTGTGTTCTCCTTTTCCCTTCTTCGATAGAGCCGGATGGATTCTGAATTTCTGGCGCATATATACTTGCTTTTGCCTATGTATCTATTTATATTCGTTTCGACAACTGATAATGTTGGAGGTGATATCTAACTACCTTTGACCCAAGGATCGCCCGGCTAACATTTACTAGAAGTACTAGTATTTGATGCAATCCCTATATGTTTCGGCAATGTGACCAAGCATCGTGTTTGGTATATTGTATCTGGCATGTGTCCATTTAAGCCTTTTCGTTCCCTTGGTCACGATTGGCCCCGCCCTCGAAAGCAACGAATCCAATGCCGCGTTGCTGCCAAATGCGCTTGCCAGTCCGCTTGCAATGCGCGTGTCAGGCCACTCAACCGCGACAGATTCGGTATGTTTCTACCGATCGGCAGCCTCAACCAAGAGACGCAGGGTTGCCGCAGCGTTGGTTTCCCCCTTGTTTAGTGCTATGGTTCAAGGAGAATCCGCGACCTTGGTTCCTGGTATCTGTGACTGATTAAAAGCCAACAGTTGCATCTCGCACATCCTAGCTGCAAAACTTGTCACAAACCGAATGATGGGGCAGATGGACGTCCTCTCCCTTCCGGTTAAGAATTAACCCATTTATCTGATATTTTTGCTTAATTTGTTTTTATAATACATTCCTCAGTTCAGCACCCTGCTTGAGCAGATTTCTTGCTGTGATATCACTCTAATATTTATTGTTGCTCAAGCTGGCCTTCCTCCCCCTCGACAAGAATGGCGCATTGGCATTTATGGATATAGATACTTCTGTACTTATGTAAATAGAGATTCCCCCCTTTTTTTGGCCACAATGTTTTTGCCTTCCGGACCTTGTTGTCCATTGATACCCGACTTCTGGTGCGAGAAATTTGAACTTACACCACTGGAAATGGATTTACATTCTGGATATCCTCAATGATAGCTTTGGTGGCATTGATTTTTGCTGCGAGTTGTCATATTCTTCTCTCTTACGTTTTGCGCACTCTCAAAAAACATTTGACAAAAGTCACAACATATTGGTGTGTCATCGGTCTCCCGCATCATCCTTGTCGAACCTTTAATTTCTTACCTTTGTGATAGGCGGGGGAAAGTGGGATAGCAACCATCAATGGCTGCACTAAAAAGCCGTTGCAGATGTTCTGCTCATCTAGTGGCCCAGCCCAGGCCCTGCCACATTATTTCTTTTAATGGTTGCCCCTAACAACGCATATCACCCCAACCTCCTCCAACAACTGAGGACAAGAAACTCCGACATTTGTTTGAACAGCATTTTCTCCCTCGACTCGATATCAGTCGGCATTCAATATTTACAGAACATAGCGGATGGTACGGAGTATTGTTATTGCTATTTGCTAATTGCAAGATTCAAACTTCCTTTTCGTCACTGAAGGCCATCCTCATGGCACATTGATATTGCATATGAAAACAGGTTGTATATATTCTTTTGTGTGCACTGTTTACGATAGATTTTGTGCAGGTGAAATCTTTGAGCCGATCGAATAGCGTTTACCTAACCGATCTACCAGCAAAATAAAGGGCAAAGCTTTCAGCGGGCCGGTAATCAAACTTAATTCGAGCGCGGGGAACAAAGCACATCAGCAAACAAATATACATAGTACTCAGGAAAACTGAGGTCATGGCGGATTTAGCTCCTAAAGCGGAAATATCGGATGCCGTGGATGCAAGTGCCCGTGATTTTAATGAAACCGATCTGTCGCAATCATGCGCAATCATGAATGAGGGAGAGTCGCATCAGTTTGAAGCGAATGCCACAGCTTCCACACCCGAACCGGAAACAGCTTCCTCGGACCAGCAGGTGGAAACTGATGGGATTACTGAATACCATGCATTTGACCATAACCCCCACGAGCGACCTCATTCCTCCTCTTCTCATGCTTCCGCTACTTTTACTGGTGATGACGATTATTTCGATCAAGAGGGCCGACATGCCGCAAGGTCAACATCAAGTCGCTCATCCATTTCTTCTTTACCGGGCTCCGTCGTCGTATATCCTCCAGGAAAGCATGATTACAACGGCACCATTACCCCATCGAATTTCCGCGGGCATTATATGCAACATTATATAGAGAGTAATAATGACCAACCCATTCCCGTGGACAGCAAGGACTTTAAAAAGAACACTTATACCTCCCGGCTTTCAAAAATTGCGCCTGGCGTTCGAGATCGTGATTCGCCTTTTAGACACCCTAGCTCAGTGCTTGCGATGCAAATGGGAGATGAGGAGGATTGTGACGGGTATGGGTATGAGTACGACAATGAGAAAACTACACCATCGCGATATCGGAAGCGCCGGGGCAACGGCCGTGGCCATTCGTGCCAGAGTGTGTCGGGGATGTCCATGCGCTCGCTGGTCTCGACGCCGCCGTCTGCTAGGTGGAATTATAAATCACCACCGACAAAAGGGGAGCCAGTACAGAAGGAGTACCCACTAGTCCTTCTCCATTGTACTTTGCTCCCACCGTCTCTTACACTACCGCATGGTTTGGGAAGACCTAGTGCGCAGCTTCTCGAGGAGATTTTGCCGGAAAAGTACTGGGCGAGGTGGAAGTTGTTGGAGGATAAGATTGTCAATTCGGGTGTGCTGAGGGATCGCGGGTTGCTGATATCTCATCCCCAAGAAATGTATGACTTGCTTGAGGAGCGGCTATTAGAGAGTCTAGAGCTGGTTCGGCCAAGGTTGGGATACGGGCATTTCCTTGGTCGGGAAGATGAAGACAGTGCGGATGATGGAGGTAAGAAGGCTGATGCGAAAGAGGATTGCGGAGATTTCAGCGATGGATGTGAAGGGGAAAAATGTGCTGATTGTGGCGCACGGGTTCTTCGGCATTTGGAAGGGGAAAAGCGGAAATGGGAAATAAAAGTCTATGCTGCGAATGGACTAATGAGAGCTGGCGCTTGGGCGGCAGCGTGGAGAGAAATGGAAAAGGTCGACGTCGAAGTCGGATTGGCACTCCCGGTCGAGATAAAGCGGGAACTAGAGCGGAGAATTACTGAAGAGGGTAAGATGAAGATCGAGCAGGAACTGCGGTTGTTGGAGGAGGAACAACGGAGGAGAGAGATTTACGGTGAACCGCCACCACCCACCCAGGAGGCAATAGATGGGCTCGGAGATGATGTGGTTCCTCCCTTTCAATCGGATTTTGACAGGCCATCACCTCCTCCTACTTTCGAGCAGCCAGAGCCACGGGCAACAGTTCTCTCCGTGTCAACCTATAAGCATGGACATGAGCATGAGATGATACCCGCCAAATCTGATGAGATTGATTTGCAGACTCTTTGCGCAAATTACATCCGTGTTCTCGCCAGTGATACACGGAACGTCGCGCTTGCTTTCCTAAGTGTTCTTGTCCTCTACTTATCGATTACCCTGACGAGGAGAGGAGGAGTTTTTATAGACCCCACATCAATCCCCCCGCATGCCCCTCCGCCAAATATCTCGACGCCAATAGCTATTGAACGTAGCCGTCCCTCAGTCGTTGGTTTTCCTGTCATCCCATCCGGTCAACCAGGATTTCCACTGAGTTCTGAGATGGATGACGAAATGACCCACACAACGTCCGCGTGTGCGAGCCCCATATTTGAAATGTCATCTATTAATGGTATTCCATTAGAGCAAACTCTCACATCGCAACACACACCAAACCGTTTTGCACATCTTTGCCAAAGTGAATCTCACTCTAGTGAGCCCTCGATTCAGCCCCAAGCACCAGCTGCATTTAAACCTACGGTATTAGCTGAACCAAACGATTCCTCGCCAAGGAAGCACCGTGACACCGTTTGCTCATCAGTTCAGCATATTGCGCAGCCCGCTCTGCAGCCAACCATATTAAACCCAGATGTCATAAGTGAGCACCGTACTGTTGCGTCCTCCGCTCAAATGTTAGAATCATCTCAACCGCTGGTAGGCGTAGAATGTCAGCCATCAGCGGTGGTTTTAACATCAACAGGAGCTGAGGGTCCATCGGCAGAAGGGTAACACAGTCACCGCAAGTCATGATACACGACGTGGAGAAAGATGTGGAACGACTAGAAACAGAGCCAGTACCGCTTCCTTGTTGTGTTTGGATGCCAGTTGACAATTAACACAACTTGTTTTGCGTTTATGAACTAGTATGACTATAGCGATGAGGAAGACGCAGTTTCTCGGTTTTGGTTTCTGCGAAGATGGGGCGTGAAAGTCATTAAATGGTGGTTCTGTCTTTTGTTTTCGTTTTATTTTCCCGCTTTGATAAGCAAAATGAGAATTTGCTTACCCCAATAGCGGGGTGGTAATTTCCTTTTGACTTTGATATCTAAATTTTGCATTAACCTTCGTCCTTGCTTTATACATCTCGTCGGCCGCAAGGGCCCTTCTCCCTCACCGTTCTCTGATTATTTTCGTGGAAGCATGGGTATTTATACGAGCCAGTGCTCTTCGCGTGGATTATTTCCTTTTTTTTTTCTCGCCCTATTTTTATTGAGTTATTTGCTATGTTCTGCATTGTCATGTGCCATCTGCTGGTTTTTTGAGCAGAGTTATGAATTGATGAAATGTTTCAGGGACATATATATGTACGTAGATTAGTTGATAGATAGATAGTCTATATGTAGCTGCTAGGAATTAGTACAGAAACCTTTGCTGGCAATTAAAGGCAGTGTTTCTGCAACACATCTGCTATGTGGCAACGTATAGATACGTCTGGGATCAGTGGTATGCAAAAGCACCATAGTTCAAGATGAAAAGAAAATAACAACGAAAGTCTCACACATCCAACCAGAATTCCGGGTCCACCGATCGGTTTCTCTTTTGAGCATGTCTGAAAGATAATCGCTTGATCTTATCAACCCAGGCTTCGAACCCCACCATCTCCGCTTGAAGGGAAACGAAATCCATGCTCTTGGGGACCTGCTATTACGTCTGCCGAATATCAATACTTTTACCCGATCAATCTACTGCCCCAAATCAAAAGCGCCTTAACCGATAGGTCTGGTAGCATGGATGAGGTTGGTGCCGACAGCTCGACATGACTTTTATTCCTCGTATCACCCCAGCTTTCTTCACTTGCATGACTGGGACAAAAGATCATCGGTATCGTCATTTTTGCTACGATTGTTCCTGTACAGAACATGAACATGAGGAATAGGCCATCATCAGAGACCGGTGGTTTTGATTACGATGGAAAAGAACAAAACGCGGATTGGCAAGCTACGACATCATCGGCCTAAGAAAGCTCTGGAAAGGTGTTGTTGGACCACGAACCTCGATAACTGGAGGGACACTGTCAGCCAAAAAGTGACGATACCAACGATGTTGAAAGAGGACTGAAAACCCATGGTAGCAGATTTTGGTATTTTGATATTTGATGTGTTAAATTCGGAAAACCCTAGAATCAATCTTGATTAATCGCTTCGGCATCAAATCTACGTGGGTATTTCTGTGCCCTTTTCGCATATTGCTAGAGGTGGTATAGCGAAATGAAGAGTTGTGGTGAGTATAGCTGGAAAGATGGGTTGGTATGGGGTTCAACAACTTGTATTACAAGGATGACATCATGGCAACAGAGATTTCCTCCCATCGTTTGCTCTCCTATCACCTATGGCCTCTTGGTCGCGAACCCCTCGCCATAGCCCATGGATGTGCTCTCCTGCGATCTTTGACCAGGTGTAAATGAATTGAGGGTTGGCTCCGATTTGCCCAAAGATCGGGTAGAGAGGACTTAAGAGGTTTGTAGCAGTGAGGGATGTTGATGTTAACGTCTAGAGCTTTTGAACCTGCTGACCTGGACATACCACGCCAGTGGATGACAAGGCTGTGCTTCTGGAATGGGAGTTCCTCTGGATATTGTTGCTCACCCTTTAGCCCCAAGCCCAGTTCCAGCACAAGTGGAGATGGAGAATTGGAAGAATGTTGTTGTTTTCCGCCAATCGCCGCCCAGCCTGTGGGAACGAGGGTGACTAAGCCTGTGATCCGCTATTCCATATTTACATTAGTGTGGCTGCAGACAGATTCTCAGCATTTCCGGGTCCCGTGATTGGCCGCGAAAAGTTTTCGGAGCCTCTTGCTTTCTAAAAAATTCTCATCGCGGATTTCCATACATTTCCTCTCCAACTTTATCCGTGGCCATATACTAATAATTCCCCTCCCCCTTTCCCCTCCCCCTTCCTCTCCCTCTCTTCCTTGTTTCGCGTTCACTCGCTTGGTTCGTGCTATCTCTTCTTTTTCAGAATGGCTGCTGCTGCCCCTTCTTCGAAACTGGATGGCATCCAGAAACCGGCCCTTCCCACCCCCCAGGGGCCCCAGATGAGCGGCCTTAACCTGTACTCAAGATTCGCCTTTGCTGGCGCTGTCTGCTGTTCAGTTACCCATGGCGCCCTCACACCTGTCGACGTGTAAGTCCCAGAGTCTCATTGCGTCTGTCTGTTATGAGCGCTTTGGAATTGCGGCCGATTCGCCGATATTTACCCGTGGCTAACAATGGAATGTCTTCCAGCGTCAAGACAAGAATCCAGCTTGATCCAAAAACCTACAACAGAGGCATGATTGGGGGATTCAAGCAGGTCGTTCAGAATGAAGGAGCCGCGGCTCTGTTGACCGGTTTTGGCCCAACTGCTGCCGGTTACTTCCTGCAAGGGGCCTTCAAGTTCGGAGGTTACGAGTTCTTCAAGAAGCAGTCCATCGACTTCCTTGGCTACGAGACTGCGGCCAAGAACAGAACCGCCGTCTACCTCGCCTCGTCTGCGCTTGCTGAATTCTTCGCTGATATCGCTCTCTGCCCCCTCGAGGCTACACGTATTCGTCTCGTTTCCCAACCCGAATTTGCTTCTGGCCTAATGAGTGGATTCGGGAAGATCCTCAAGAACGAAGGAGTTGGTGCTTTCTACTCTGGTTTCGGTCCTATCCTTCTGAAACAGTAAGGGCTTTCTCCCCAACCAACCAAACAGCGCCCGTGCGTATCACATTCATTAGTAAGTAATATTAATTCTTGAACAGGGTTCCATACACTATGGCCAAGTTCGTCGTTTTCGAGAGAGTCTCGGAGGCTCTGTACCGTCAGTTCGATAAGGAAACTCTCTCCGATGGGGCCAAGACTTCTATCAACTTAGGATCTGGTCTCATGGCCGGTTTTGCTGCTGCTATTATCTCTCAACCCGCCGACACCATGCTTAGCAAAATCAACAAGACCGAAGGCCTTCCAGGTGAAGGAAATATGTCCCGCTTGATCAAGATTGCAAAGGAACTCGGACTCCGGGGTAGTTTTACCGGTATTGGCGCTCGTCTCGTCATGGTTGGTGCTATCACTGCCGGCCAATTCGGTATCTACGGTAGGTTATTTGTTCGTTTGCATTCGCACTTCCCCCGCATCAACGATTTACTGACCTTTCCTTTCTCTGCAGGTGATATCAAGCGCGTCCTTAACGCCACGCAAGGCGTCGAATTGAAATAGAGTAGCCCTTGATTCCTTGGTTACCCAATATCCACCACCCACCGTTTCGTTCAACTCTTTCGATGCGTTAACCTCCTACAATACCCGGTCTCAACCCACTGTGTGACCTCTCATATATCCCTAGCAGGTCCATCCGGGATGTATATTTTTTATTTTTTTTATTCGTCGTGTTGGTTTTTCATGTGTCAGTTTTTTTTTTTTTTTTTTTTTTTTTTTTTTTTTTTTTTGATATAAAAAATGAAAAGTAATGAAATACCAGATAGACAAAGCTGCTACTTGTGTTGAAAGAACCATGTCCCCATATAATTCAGCCTTCATTTTTTTTCTTTTTTTCGTTTGTCTTCGTTTGTCTCTCTTGGTTTTCACAAAATTAGCATGAACTATCTGCCTTTCTTCTTTTCTTCCTCTGCTGTCTGGTCTTCCTTGTCAGTTATTTTATTAGAGGACAATTTTCTATTGTATCTATAGATAGAGGGTGATGGATCCCTGGTTTTTCAAAAGGACTCTTGTGCTTTTCCATAGATGGTGTGTTCATAGATTCTCACATCTGTTTTGTCGCTGTCATTTGCATTCAAGACTATGATCCTTCAGAAAAGTGTACGTTATTTGCCTCATGACGATATTTCTTCTCCATGGTTCAGCCCATAGGTTACGTTATACGCTGGACGCATCAACACTTGATTCGAGGAGATACAGCGCGATATCCATGGTTGCATCTGCCATCCTGCGGTCATAGACAACGGGCTCCCAATGATTGCCAAGAAATGACTGCCTGTTACGGTTAGGCGGGAAGGTCATCCTCCTTTACCGCGCTCCAACCCCGGCTAGACCTTAGGACAACGCGGCTTTTTCCCAACATACCAGACAGCTAGAATATGCATATATATACCCAAGATACCTGTCTCCCTAATCCCATCTCCATCTTCCCATCCGCATATCTATATCAGAGAGCCCTGTTCCTTCGTCAATTCCTCTCATTCCAAGGTTACCCCTGAACTACCCATTGGCCTATCACAACCCGAGGCCCAACTGCCCCTGAAACCTTATCTAACGCCTTGAAAAGTTTCAAACTTGGAGAACATCAGGATCACACCTCTTGAGAGAAAATAGAGCAGAGAAGAGAAGACCAAGGACCAAGCCGTTTATGCATATCCACTAAGACGTACGTGTGCATGTGTGCGTTAACACATGCGTATGCGGTGATGTTTTGAATTTTCGTTATCTTATTTTGAAGAGAAGAAAAAGAAAAAAAAAAAAAGACTGTCTGCATTTGGTTGCTGAAGGTGATCCTGTTGAGGCTGCTTAAGACGGCATCTGTTGGGACATTCATTTTGCGGGAGAATGGGGTCTTTTATATCGTCGGCCTACCAGCACATATTTCGAAAGCGAGAGACGCAATGGCTTGACATTGACGGTGAGTATTTATTGCTTTTCTTGTTCCTCTGAAATACTTTATTTTAATTTAGCTTTCATGGGGTGCTTTACGCTTCCTGTTTTTTCTTGTTTCAATTTATCTGTCTGGTTTCTTAAATTCATTTCTTGTGGGTTGATCATTTTTTATTCGACTATTTTCTGTTTTTTGCTTGTGTATTTGATGGAAACGCTTCAGCTCCAAACACGTTGGTCGTTATCATCCAGTCGCCTTTTTTTTTTTTTTTTTTTTGTTTTTTTTGAACACAATCGCCACAAATTTCCTTTGCTAAACAATTTCCTCAGACTTCGACCTTGACGAGCCGGGTGAGCCAAACCAGCTGATGTTTCAGGCCTTCGAGTGGTACGTGCCTGATGATCAGCGACATTGGCTACGGCTGCGGGCAGCCCTACCAAGGCTCAAGGAAATCGGTGTGACCAGCATACTGCTCCCACCAGGCTGTAAGGCCATGAGCCCGTCCGGCAATGGATATGAGTTGTATGACCTTTACGACCTAGGCGAGTTCTATCAGAAAGGGTCGAGGGCCACCAAGTGGGGAACTAAGGAAGAGCTGGTTGCTCTTGTGACTAAGGCGCATGAGATGGAGATCCGAATCATTTGGGATACGGTGCTTAATCATAAGGCTGGAGCTGATCATACGGAGAAATGTAATGCGGTGATGGTTCATCCGAAAGGTGGGTTTCTGGCCATCTAATCTGAGTTTGCTAATGGAGAATGGGGATGGGGACGTTAATATGTCTATGGACTCCAAAATATACAAGTGCCTTGTTGATACTAATTCTAGAGCCAAAATTTTAGACCGCCGGAAAGTCATCAGTAAGCCCGTGGAAATTGAAGGTTGGCTGGGTTTTACCTTTCCTGGCCGGGGGGAACGGTACAGTGAGATGAAATATCATTGGTACCATTTTTCAGGAGTCGATTTTGATGCCCTTAATAAGAACAAGGGAATATATAAAATCTTGGGGCCTGATAAGAACAAAGACTGGGCGCGGGACGTCAGCAAAGAGAATGGCAACTACGACTATTTGATGTTTTCAAATCTAGATTATTCGAACCCAGAAGTTCGTGAGGACGTCTTCAAGTGGATTGAATGGATGGGTGACCAGCTCCCACTTTCAGGCCTAAGTGGACGCTGCCAAACATGTTTCATCTGGGTTTGAGGACTTGTCGCTCACGTCGCGACGTGACCGCTGTGCTGTGCTGATATGAGCGAGTCGCGAGCTCTGAGTATCTAGGCGATGATACATGTCTCTATTGATGTGCATAGTCGC